TAGGGGGGGACCCTTGGGGATATAGACCCTCTGAGTCTGAATAAGGTCCCTGTTTAAGAGAGCCACAAGTAGGGTTAAGAAGGGTCCCCTTTAAGGGGTCTCCCTAAAACTACCTAGGATGAATGCCCTTAGTCCTGAGCCATGCAGCCCAAACCCATTTTCTAGTCTGCAGGCTGAGGAACATGCATGTGCCTACTTACATATGACTTCAGTTTGTCTTACCGAAAACCCGAGGTCAAGAAGCCCCCAGGGTTGCAGAATATGGAGTCCTGCGATACTTGTGGAGGATAAGCCGGCACCCTGAAGTGGGCCAAGAGCATGCCAAAGCCAAACTCATGTCTGGGATTCTAGTCTAGACCATAAATCAACATAAAGCCAAACCCGAATCTGCATCTTCAGGTCGCCTGACATCCCAAACTTCCCCGAGCTAGTTGGCTGGCTTTCGGGGTTAGGGGTTTAGGGGTTTAGGGGTTTAGGGTTTAGGGTTTAGGGTTTAGGGTCGCCGGCCTGCACGTACGACTATGAACGGAGGAGCTTGTATGCCTCAGGCAAGGCTCGCTTGGAGCTTCGTATTGTCGGGGCTCGGGCGTGCCGAAAGCCCAAGATCCTATCAGTAATATATATATATATACGAAAGCCTAATACAGTGTAATGAAGTAGAATGTTAGACGACGGTAAGAAATAATAGAGTAGACCGCGTCTTGCGTTCAAGTTCTCAAGTTCTCGGAGAACTCCACGAGGCTGAACTTCGAGCATACAAGCAACCATATCCTACCGACCCAAAACGCAGCAGACGGAAAGGGAAAGTGCGAGGAGAAGGGCTTAGTAGGGTTTAAGGGCTGCGCCCTCTGGCAGATGATTAGAATGGCCGAGTTCGAATCTGGGGCAGTGGAAGTAACAAGTTCATGGCTCAGGGTTTCGGGTTTAGGGATGGAGAAGTGTCGTCCGTGGTTCTATTCTCGTGGTTTTAGACATGTACAGGTCGAGGAAGTAGAAAATGTTGTACGCAGCTCGACGTAAGCTTCAAGACTCTTGCTTGCACCAGAGCGACGGTACTTCCAGCCTGAAGCTTCATTCAGGATTTGGGAGTTTCCGAAACTAAGGGGTGGGGTCCCTATAATAAGGATCCTTGCTATTTAGGGTACTATATTGGGGTCCCCTATTTTCGGAAACTCCCATTTATGCTCAGAACCTATACTATGGAGCCCTAAGGGTGCATGTACCTAAATATTATATACTTGGGCCCCAAAGTACCTATATAATTAGAGACTACTTTTAAGGCCAATGTATATACTATATGAGTACATGGACCCTTAAAAGAGTGTAACTGAAACCCAAGTTTAGCTCATAGCCTCAACCGCACAAGATGGCTTCACGTTTACCAGCGAGGCTGGGTTTAGGTTAGGGTTTAGGGTTTAGGGTTTAGGGTTTCGGGTTTAGGGTTTGGGATTCATGGGCTCAAAGCCGAAGGGCTAAGCCCTCCTACACCCGAAGGCTGTCTCCATGCTTGACCAAGGAACAGCAGCCCAATGCCGCATTTTGAGGTCGGCGGGGAAATTCGTTTCAATCGCCTTCGACGTGTGCGGAAGCAGGTTCGCGCTTTCGGCTTTCAGGGCGCTGGGGCTCACGGCCTGTAGCCAGCTTGGGTTATGCAGGGAGTGTGCTATGGACTGTGCCCTAAACCCTAAACCCTAAACCCTAAACCCCAAACCCTCAACCCTAAACCCTAAATCCTCAACCCCAAACCCTAAGGGCTTCAGCGGCTTGTAGGCTGCTCGAGTATGAGGTAAAGAATCCTCGAGGTTCTAAAACCGACGCCCTAGCGGCTGGAAGTCGAAATCCTACATCCCCGGACGCTTAAAAAACCCAAGAAGGTATTCCCTGTAGCCTTGAACCGTCATCCCTATGCTTGATATTTTCCTCATTTCGAAACTTGACTCCAGGTTCAAGAAGCTTGAACCTAGGGGTTTAGGGTTTAGGGAAAACCGTAGATGCAGTAAGGTACTTCACCGGGACTCAAAGCCATCAGGGCAAGCCACGAATTCTCAAATCCTCAGCCATTTCCAAGACACTAAAAGAGGAGCCTTAATAATTGCAATACGGTTTGGGGTATAGTAAACTGTAGTTCGAATAAGCAGCGCCCCAAAACAGTATAAGTTATGAAATTATTCAAGACCCTATATTGCTAACCATAAACCCTGTAGATACGAAGATTTCATAAGACCTGAGCCCAAGCGAGCCCTGAACCCTAAACCCTAAACCCAGCTCCGCGAGTGCCTCGAAGGTCTCATCATCAATCTCTATACTTGTGTAGTCTCTGATCGACTGGAGGATGGACATGATCTCCTCGAGGCTTTTGGGTCGGGTGCAAGAAATTGCTTTTTTTGAGCTTTAGGGCTTCATGGTTTCAGGCTTCACTTGTCGGTTTTAATGGTGTACCTGAAGAACCCAAAACCTACTTTTTTGTAGGGTCCCTATAAATCCCAAATTAGGGGTTTATAATAAGAACCTACAAAAAGTGGGTTTTGGGTCCTTAACGCAGGGCTTTGGGGTACAGATAGGATGGCTGACTTCAAGCCTACGACATGCAGCATGATTCGGGGCTCGGCTCGGGCCCTAAGCCTGAGTATAGAGGGTTTAGGGTTTAGGGTTTAGAGTTTAGGGTTTAGTATAGAGGGTTTAGGATTTAGGGTTTAGTATAGAGGGTTTAGGGTTTAGGGTATAGGGTTTAGGGTTCCTAAACCACCGTACTCCAAGCTTGAGCCCAGCGCTCGAAGGAAATGCGCGTCGCGCGCAGGGAAGCAAGTCATTTGTTTCCCCTGTGCCACCACACCAAACATGCGGAACCCAGAACGACAAACAAGATCACTCAACGAACGTAATGAATGGAGCCAAGGTGCAGTTTCGCTATTGATGTAGGTCTCTGTCAACCGCGTCTCACCAAACGAACCCATCCTGGGCGAAGTCTGATTGGGGTCTGGCCGGGTCTGGCGCGAAGTGACTTCGAGGCATCGAGGCATTGAGGCTACAGACAGCCTGCAACTTCAATGATAAGTTTGTGGGCTTTTAGCCTCATCACTTCTTCTTCTTCTTCTTACAACTCGCAGTAGTACTTGCCCGGCTATTGCTGTTGCTAGAACTGCCACGCACCACTGCTCCTACTGCTGCTGCTGCAGCACGATGCGCGTGTAAGGCTTCGTCGTCAGCTCGGCAGACGAGCTTGAGGTGAAGATTGCTGTCCCGGCGACTATGGCACTGCTCGAGGTAGTACCATACTGGTGGGGTGTGCTGTTGGTGAAGGCGGTGCGTTGCATTGCGCTCAGAAATCACTATTAGTCAATCTGATCTGGTTTAACGAGCTCTTTTCGGCTGGGCTTGAATCTGGAGGTCGAACTCATCCACCTGGCTGGATATTGCGGAGCTCCGTGGTTACCCTCTCCGGTGGTTACCCTCTCCGAGTCGTCGGCGTGGTCTCAGCACATCGAGGCAGCTCAAACGGCTCGGGTCACCAGAAAAGCTCAGTCCACGGGATCGAAGTCCATGTCTTTGATGTCTTCAAGGGCCAATGCTCTCCTGGGCTTTGAAGTAACCAGGGAGAAAAAAGTATAGACTTTTATTTTATAATGGTTCCTTTAAGGAACAGGTCCCAAAAAAAAGTATTAAAGTATGGTACTCCAAAGCCCAGTTCTCCTCACCGCCTCCTCCAACTCTGGGTCTCCGGGCACCGGCAGCGAGAAGCTGGGAAGGAGGTCCAGAGAACCGAGGCCAAAGGAACCCACGGAAACCTCGGGGGGGCGATGTTGTGGTGGGGAGCCCAGCACCGGGCTCTCCACGTCCATGACCAGAGGGGCAGCCGGGCCTTCATCGATGAGCTGGAAGTAGTAGGCCTCACGGCCCTGGAAGGAATACTTCTGCAAGTTCAGCCGGCCATCTTTATCTACACAAACGTAGAGGCCTGGACGGTCGGCGAGCATCAGGCAGACAAAGCGCCCTGAAAGGTCGTCAAGGAGTCCGTCTTGCTCAGGGACGCGAAGCTCAAACGTAGCTCCAGCGCGAAGCACTTCGGAGCCGTCATAGCGACAAAGCGACACGTAACCTATACTGTACTTGGTACCCTCGCAAAGAATCGTATATAATTTCAGCGGTCTCTTAGATTACTTATCATACCCAGAAATCAACCAAACATTGTTTCCAAGTACCCCAAGGCAACTAGCTCGGGGAGGTCCCTCTTGAGCTGCCATATAGTCCAAGGCCCGGTTCAACGAGCGAAACGAGCAGCGACCTGGTCTCCGGGACGGTGGCCCAGGGTAGCGCGAGCGATGCCAAAGCCCATCTTCCAAGACGAAAGGCTCTGCCTGAGTTTAGGGTTTAGGGTTTAGGGTTTGGGGTTTAGGGTAGGAGACGACATGCTTAGGGTTTAGGGCTTGGGGCGTAGGGTTTAGGGATTGGGGCATAGGGTTTCGGGTTTAGGGATGGCCTATAGACCACAACTCTAGATTAGGATTTAAGGCTTAGGGTTTCTTGGTTTATGTCATAAGGCAACATGAACTAACATGAACTGCAATCGGGCGAAAGAACCAGCTTCCCCCAGAAGATGACGTGCAGTACACCATAAAGCACATAACAGGCAACCCTAAACCTCAGTAGTAAATAAACCCTAAACCCTAAACCCTAAATCCTATACCCTAAACCCTAACCCCTAAACCCTAAACCCTATACCCTAAACCCTAAACCTAAACCTGACTAGGTCATGCCAAAGCTCCGAGTCTCGGGCTTCCTCGGCCACAAGCACGTTACCGCGAGCTCCCACGGAGGCCTTCAAGGCCAAGGATTTCCTGGGCCGTTCTTCTTCGAGGCCCTGTTGAAGGTAGACTTTTCGATTCCTTCTTAAGAACATGCTATACAAACATACCCAGGTAGGACCTATCAAAGACATGGTGGACCAACCCCTAAACCCTAAACTCTAAACCCCAAAGCCTAATTAAGACCGGCCTGGCTTCAAGTATGTTACAGTATACCAGGCTTACCCAAAAGGGAAGCAATTCTCAAGAACACGGTGGACCTGAAGAAAGCATCCCTAAACCCTACCCTAAGGCTCATGGACCCCCATAGTGAAAGCCCAAACCTTAGCCCCCAAAGCCCAAACCCCCTAAACCCTAAACCCTAAACCCTAAACCCTAAACCCTAAAGCCCATAACAACAATGAGAGCCTTAGGGTAAACCCTAGTGCTCAAGACCGGCCTGGTTTCAAGTAGCAGCCCCTAAACCCTAAACCCCAAAGCCTAATTAAGACCGGCCTGGACCCTAAACCCTAAACCGTAA